GTAATTCTGCTGGTCTAGTCAGGCCATTTCCTTTATCTCTGCTCTCTCCCCGACCCCCCTGCCCTTCCTGACTCTCTCTCTCTCTCTCTCTCTCTCTCTCTCTCTCACACACACACACACACACACACACACACGCACAATACCAGTTTCCTCTTCTATTAGAGGAAGAGAGGCTATTCTTCTTGGGATGCCCTATGCTCCATTCATCCAAATTCTATCAAATTAAAGATGATTTATTTAAAAGTCACCTTCTCAAAAAACAAACAAACAAACAAACAAACTACCTGAGATTAGATTTCATCTCACATTAGGCTTCTAAATAATCTTGGAACATATAATCTTCTGTATAGTCTTGGAGCGGGATTCAGTCACACCTCACATCAAGTTAGCACTACCTCCCACAGCAGCCCTGAGAGGTTCTTTATTCCTCCAAGCTGGTGCTGGACCAGCACTCTGTCATGAGCTGTGGATGAAACAATCAGGCGCCTTCTCTCAAGTAGCTTATACTCTCTCAGTAGGGGAGACAGACAGTTCAGTGGCCAAGCAGGAAAAGTGAAGCGATAGAAGATGGTATAGGCAAGGTCGGAAGGAGAGGTGATGCTTGTGTGTGTCCCAAGGGCTGAAGAGGATTTACCCCTCACCAGGGGTAAATCAGAGAAGCAGACAGGCCAGAGAAGCATTCCCAGGAACAGAGCAGCATGGAATGGCCTGCCTTTTTCTGAACTTCGCTGGCACGTGTGCATCCAGTCAGCTGTATACCACCTGTTTTTGCACATCACCTGGAAATCCACTTGTGTAACAAACCTTGATACCCTCTAAACAGATGATACTTTTTGAAAGAATGGTCATGTTTTCTGTTCCTTATGTACCCCTCACATTGCCTGGTAATATCAGGTGCAAAGTAGGGGCTACTCTGTGTTGTAACATGAGGGATACAGTAGATACATAGTAATAATGGATTTGCCCTGCTTGTCCAGCATTCTGAATTCCATCCATTTATTCCTTCCTGCCTCTGTCTCCTGTTATCTGTCCTTCCATTGCCTTTTGTGACCATCACTGTTTGCACAGGAGATAACTGACGTGTGTTATGGAAGCGCCTTTAGCCATGGGAGGAGACAGAGCTGGGTGGGCCACGTGGGAATGGAAACTACTGTCTTGAGCTTTCAGATTGAAGGGTTTAAACAAGTAAGTTAACCAGCCACAGAGTGGTGCTCCATGGTCGCTTATTGAATGACCCCTTTATAATAAGTTATGTGATAAGTTATGATCATTCGGACCTTGATAAGTCATTGCGAAAGAATTCTTTCCTTATCAGTGATGCTTATTAAGACCCTTAGATTCTTGAAACAAATCTGCTTCCTGTCTGAAGCTCCACCCACCACTATTGCCCTTCAAAATTTTTGGCTCTGGTGTGGCAAACTGTAGCAGAATTTAGTACTTACAGATTAGTTCGTGTGGGAGAGGGGTGGGGAGAAAAATTTGTGGCAGTTTTTCCTTTTAGGATGGATGTGACAGATGCAGCAGCTAATTGTCCCCCACTCTCAGTTATACTTTCTTCTGTATTAATAGAACCTGTGAGTTTTAGTTGGACATGTGGTTGCCCTAAATAAATACTCCATTTCCCACACTCCCTTGCAGCTGGTTGTGGCAGTGTGACTCAATTCAGAGCATGGGATGTGGGTGGGTGATTTCAGCAACCCCTCAGTTGAGTTCTTTAGGAAGGAAGCATGCTCTCCCCTTCCTGACTTGTCCTCCTTCCCTCGGACTGGAGCAGGGATGTAGTGGTTTGCTCTCCTGGCCCCTGGAGACAAGGGCCACGCCCTCGGGGAGGAAGATCAACGCTACAGAAGGAGCCTGGGACCCTGACTGGGGCGACCACGGCCACCCCAGCCTGCTTACACTTGCAGCTGCTCTCTCAGAAAGAATTGTCCCCATTAAACCAGGATCGGGGCTTCCCTAGTGACCCAGACAGTAAATGATCTGCCTGCAATGCAGGAGACCCAGATTCAATTCCTGGGCCGCAAAGATCCCCTGGAGGAGGGAATGGCAACCCTCTCCATTATTCTTACCTGGAGAAGTCCATGGACAGAGGAACCCGGTAGGCTATCATCTATGGGGTCACAAAAAGTCGGACATAACTGAGCGACTAACACTTTCACTTTCAAGCTAGGATTATGTTAGGTCTCTGTTTCAGCAGCTAATTAACACATTAGGGGATAAACAGTTACGAAGTTCAGACAGTGTCAGCTGAGTGATATGAACAAGAGGAGAAACATACTTTTAAAGGTATTTAATAAGACTCTTTTTTTCAAATCAATACAAAATTTTAAATACAAAAATGATTTGTTATTGACATGTCTCAAATCTATCATGGAAACTCAAAAAAAGTTACCAGTCTGTTCACCATTCATGGTTATCTGTAAAATATTTTGAGAACAGTCACCCACTGCAGACATTCTTCTCCCCTGTGGGATGTTACCCTGCATTCAAACTCTGTATTGAAATAACAATATTGTCAGTTTGGTCCATTTCACATGGAAAAGTTCTAGTTAATTTTGAATTACTAGGAATTGTAGCACTGTCCCTAAACTTTAGCACATGTGCTTGTTTCAGCTGCTTGTACACTCAGAGTGTTAACATGATGTGTAATACTCTGAAGGGAAACACAGACACATAGATAATTACTTAAAACTTTTTTAAATTAAATGGAGTAATTCATTTAGCTCTGAGATTAGCACCATTGTATAATAGAATACACAGTATCTGGCATAGGTTTTGCTCCTCTCCTATCTAAAAGTTAGAAGCATATGCCTGATAATACACAAACATACACACACACACACACAGACGCAATTGAGTAACAACCAATAAATAAGTTGGAAGGTATTTGAAAAGTGAAATTTGGTTTTGACTAAAGAGGTACTTCCTCTCTTTGTGGAAATAAAAAGCCCATACATGTACAGATAAATACAGTTTTATAAATGAGCTGAGCTGACTTGCTTCCGAGCCATTTCCATGCCGCTATTCAGCAGATGGAACCCAGTGGACCCAAGTGGGCCTCACAGCCATTGGCCCTCACAGCCATTGGCCCACAACAAGCATCCTCAAGACCAACCCAAAAGATGTTTGGCCACATAGGTGCTATCTGCTTTGAAAATGAAGGTTGAGTGGGATATGTTTTTGATGGGAAAAGTTTGTCATATGTTTAGCCATGAGTAAGAAACCACGTGATAATGAACTCATTTCTCATTCTAACGAATTGAGAACAAATGGTGCTTGCATACCATATAAGGAAAAGAGGGAAAAGACAGATACTAGACTGAGGAGAACATTCTCGATGGTTAAAATGATTCCGATTTCACGTAGACACAATTCCATGTGTGTTTATATACCGTATTTATTTGTGTATTTTCCCATCTGTGCCTATCACCTTGTTTCCTCACTCTTAATTTTGAGAAGATACAAGACTTCACCACCATAGCCCCACATTATTACCCCAGTGGCTTATAGTGTCAGCAGCATACTCATAGCCAACTTGAAATGCTTTGTCTGTGTTTTGAGATCAGATTTTAATGTGCAAAGCAATTCGTATGTAACTAAGTGAAAACCTGGAAAAATATTTATTTTTCTCTAAAATTGTATTGATTCTTGTACTTGTGGGGTGACATAAAAAGCATGTCATTGCCCTTTAACATTGCACATGGCTCTTTCACAAGTTGCTTCCTGCATTTTTAGTACTTAGAGCAGGAAGTAACATCCATTTGTTAATTTAAGACTTCAGAAATATTTTTTCAGAAAAATTTATTTTCCTATATAATCCTGAAGCGCCCCTTTCTTTCCCCAAGTAAAGGATAGCTTAGATTTAGGGAATTCACTCTGGAACCTCAGATGACACACGGATTTGTATGTATACTATGCAGGGAAATTTCATTGAAATTCAATAGCTACTAAAAAGTACTGATATCCCCTTCATGGATGAAACCTCATTGTAGTTATTTGTGTGTGTAGCCAGAGGAAGGGGCTGATTATATGCATGTAAACGCAGTTAAGAACTGCTGTTGATAGTGAAAATCCCACAAGACTGGAAAGTTCGGCGGGGAGAGGGTTATTTTTTTTTTCTTATGACTTCTAGGTATTTATATTAGTTGATTCATAGTGTAAATTACATGGAGACAAGAAGAAAAAAAAAGTCACAGGAAAGGAAAATACAAGCAAATACTTTTGTTCCTTGAGGAACAAATGAGTTACTTTCCGCTCATGTCTCCCAGCTGGTTTGTTAGCTTCTTGTGGGGCACTCACTGTCTTAAGCCCCGCAAAAATGTGTCATCCAGTGCTTGGCACAGAGAAGGCACGAGTAAATACACTACAGTTGTTCTTCCAGGGACACTGGACATACAATTCTGAGCAGAGCTCTTATGAAAGACACAGCCTCCAACAGGGATGAAATATCCTGTGGACTAAAGCCCTAACCTGGTTCTTCGTCCCCGTCTCACTGGGGAAGAGCACTGCAGGACACCCCCACATCCCAGGGCAAAATATCTGCACAAATACAGAGGAAATTATGCAAGTAAATACAGTATGTAATTGTTATCACTGACATTTCTTTAAGCCATATTCATAAATATTTTAAAGTAAAAAATATGAGTGAGTGACTTTCATTACCTATGATGCTCTTTCATACTGAAATACTTCGATCTGAATTAAGCAGGTTATCATGGAAGCACATAACATAAGCAGCTAATACAATTCCAGTGGGTACAACACGAGTGTCAGTACTTGATACATAAAATCTATCCCATCATTTTCAATCACAGGCTGCCGTGCAGAGCACTAAGCATGCATCTTAGTTTTTATTTGTACATGTCGGTTCAAATTTTCACTTAAATATAACTTTCCAACTATATAAATGTTTCGAAGCAATTATGTTTCTCATTTGGACTTTTGGGGGTGCATCATTTTCTTTTCTTCTATTAAATCTCTCTCTTTCCTTTCTTTCTTTTTTACATGGGATACAATAAATATCCTGAAAAAGAGGAGTGGACGTACTGCCCCGCGTACAGCCCGGCGGCCTGTTCAGAGGGCATCTGCAGGAAGACCCGGTCTCCGGGCCGGAGCAGCAGCACCGCGCTGCCGGACGCCTGGTCCAGGAAGCCCTTCTTGTATTCATCGTACGTGTACATCACGGGCTCGTTGTTCCTGAAGAGAGCAACCCACACGTTGCCCCCCTTGCAGTGAACGTGGTATGCAAAGTAGTAGACCCCAGGGACCTCACAGGTGAAGATGCCCGTCTGTGGGTTGTAGTTCTGTCTGCCGTTATAGAGCAGTTTGTCAAACTTCACCGGGGCCCCCACGGGCGGGAAAGGCGCTGTCAGCTCGGCGGTGAACGCGGGCATCTCGTAGGCCGGCCCTCCTCCGTTCTTGGCTTTCTTAGCCCCGTAGGCGTGCGGGGGTTTCGCTCCATCGATGCCCAGCCCCATATCTGGCAGGTACTCTCCATGAGGTGGTGGTGTCGGGGGCATCACAGCTGGGGGCCCTGGGGGCCCCGGAGGGCCTGGGGGTCCCGGAAGGCCAGGCTGGCCTTGGGGACCCAGGGCACCAGGCTTCCCCGGGGGGCCATGAAGTCCTGCTACTCCAGGCTTCCCTACTCCAGGGAACCCCGGGGGCCCTGGGAGACCTGGTTCTCCTTTGGGGCCAGGAATTCCAGGTGGTCCAATGGGGCCACTCGGGCCTGCAATCCCTGGGATGCCTGGGGGGCCTTGTAAACCCTGATCCCCTGGGATTCCTGGCTCTCCCTTTGGTCCAAGCAGCCCTGGGGCGCCCGGTAGCCCTGGCAAGCCTTTGAGCCCAGCCTCCCCCTTGGGTCCTATGGGACCTGGCAAGCCCCTCATGCCAGGGGGCCCCACTTCGCCCAGGAAACCTGGCTTTCCGGGGAAGCCTTGAAGCCCTGGCTCACCCTTCGGTCCTGGGGGCCCCTGTGGCCCCACAACCCCACCTTCTCCTTTGGGTCCAGGAAAACCGATAGCACCTGGAGGACCCATAGGACCTGGGATTCCAGGCAGGCCTGGCTCTCCTGGGGGACCCCCCAACCCAGGAGCGCCTGCTGGTCCTTTCTCCCCCCTTGGTCCCAGAGGCCCAGGAAGACCCCCGACGCCCCTGTCCCCTTTGGGTCCAGGGAAGCCTGGTTTCCCGGCCCCTGGGAGGCCTGGGGGTCCTGGCAGCCCTGGCAGCCCTTGCTCCCCTTTACCACCTGGAAATCCTGGCTGCCCAGGGATGCCGTCCTGGCCCGGTTTGCCAATTCCAGGTATCCCAGGAGGTCCTTGAACCCCTGGGACCCCGATAGGGCCTTGTGGCCCAGGTTCACCTGGAGGGCCTGGCTTTCCCAGGGGGCCCTGGGGCCCAGGGAAGCCTGTCACCCCTGGTTTACCCACTCCTGGAAGTCCTACGGGGCCAGGAGGGCCGTGCATCCCTGGAGGACCCTTCAGGCCTGGCAGACCCGGCATCCCGAAGCCCTTCTCCCCTTTGGGACCCTGAAGGCCTGGGGGGCCTGGCGGCCCTTTGGGTCCTCTCTCACCTTTGGCACCTGGTTGCCCTGGTAACCCTGGCCCCCCTGGCTTCCCGACGCCAGGAAGCCCGTGAGGCCCTGGAGGCCCTTGTGGTCCGGGGATCCCCATGGGCCCAATCTCCCCTTTGGGTCCGATCTCACCTTTGGCCCCAGGCATTCCCATGGCTCCTGGCTTTCCTGGCATTCCGGGCATACCTGGCTTTCCAATTCCTGGATACCCCTGCGGCCCCGGTTTTCCTTTGACTCCAGGTATCCCCTGACCCGGTAAACCGGGGGGCCCAGGTGGTCCTCTTGGGCCAGGCTCTCCACGGGGACCTTGCTCCCCTCGCAGACTGGCTAGTGGTATTTCTACTGGGAGAAGGGAGAGAGAGAGAGCAGGGCACGGGGGTGGGGGAGAGAGATTAACACTGATCATCCTTCACTGCATTTCAACCATTATTTAGTTCTCACACTTTGGCCCATTAATTATCAAGAGAAAAGATAAGGAGTAATGTGTTCGTATTCCAGGCCAGTATGGCCTATATTTAATGGACAGTTAAGCTGTCAGTTTCTTTGTCACGTTTGAGATACTGTTTTGAGAAACGATATCTGCAGCTGTTTTTATCAGTGTTCAGTTCAGTTCAGTCACTCAGTCATGTCTGACTCTTTGCGACCCCATGAATCACAGCACGCCAGGCCTCCCTGTCCATTACCAACTCCTGGAGTTTACTCAAACTCATGTCCATCGAGTCGGTGATGCCATCCAGCCATCTCTTCCTCTGTCATCCCCTTCTCCTCCTGCCCCCAATCCCTCCCAGCATCAGTTTAGGTTAAGTAAAAAAGCTAGCAAGTAATGAAGAAATATTTTTCCCAGTACAAACTTGGAAATATTATGGTGTGTTCACTATAAAGAGTTCAAAGAAGGATAAAGAAAAATCAAAGTTGTGTATAAGCTCCACTACTCAGAAGTAATTGCTTGACATTTATGTGTATTTCTATCTCATGTGTTCTATATATACATATAAATGTATATATGTGTACATATATGTGTGTGTGTGTGTGTGTACTTTAAACAATGTTGGAGCCATTTTTATTTTTTTCTCTTTTATCCCTGCTTGTATTTTTCTATGTCCTTGAGTTTTAAATGTAATAATATATGGTAAAATAATGTTTTCTCTTGTGCTGAAGTATAGCATGATGTAGGATGATGGTCATTATGATGTGGACACAGGGAAGAATAGAAGCATTTTATTTTGTATGTGGTTTAATGACATCTTAAACATCTGTCTTCTGGAGTCAAATTGATTTATTTAATTTCTTTAATATGCTATAGGATTTCCTAAGCCTCAGATATTTCTTTAATTTAATAAGCTATTTCTCGCTTGCAAATTTGGTTTCGAAACAGGAGAAATGAATTAGATATTTTAGGATGATAAGCAGTGTAGATAAGGAACCGACCTGGGATCAGGAGCAAGAAGCTTTCTGGCCTTAAAATGAGATCTTGACTGGGTTACTTAAGCCATCAGCATCTTTGCTTGCTTATCTGTATGGCAAGTGTAATACACTAACACTACAAGATTGGATAATAGAAGTGAAAGGCATTATGCTTTCTCGAATTGTTATTAGAATACAAAGCACATGCTGTTATACTGACTAAACTATGCCTTGCAGAGAAACAAAACTCTGGATCTCCCGTGCTGCTGGGAGTAAGGAATAACATCAAGAAAGGAAATTCATGGCCCCAAAGTCTTATTTTTAACCATTAGTTGCATCTTAATCCTGCTGTTGTATTTTTCACTGACCTACTGTCAGGGAACAAAATAGAACCACAGAACTCATATTTTTTTCTAAATTCCTCAGTTGCAATCTGGTACCCATCTGAATAAGTACAGGAAGTTTCAAAATCCAAGCAGGCCATTCAAGAAAGGAAGGAAAACAAATGACTGAGTAATCCCCCAAGTGGAATATCAGCTCCCAAAGAGAAGAAAATATAGCTCCTAAAAGAAGGAAATACTTCTGTTGTGCTAATAGATCTTACTATGTATGTGATTAAGGTGTGCCATTTCTAAGCAGGGGTTGGGTAGCTCCTGTATCGAGGAGCGTCTTGGGCAGGGTCATGTCACATTCATCAGGGGTCCCCAGTGTCCAGCCCGCTCCTGTAGTACAGTCTGTCCTTACTTAGGGTTTGTCGAGTGACCAGCTGTAGCAACTCACCGTTCATAGGCGGCTTTAGCATTTATTTAGCACTTACCTTATGTCATCAGCGCTCTCAGTAATCCTACTTTACAAGTGAAGAAAAGTGGTTTCAGAGAGGTTGAATGACTAGGTTTCTCTCATTTCTGGCCTCTGGGCACCCAGGCCTACTGGCTCTAAACCCCACAGTTCCCCGGAAGTAGAGCTCCTGCTTTTGCGGGGACCACTGGGAACGGCATTCATTCCTCAAAGGGAATTGCTACTCAGATTGCACTTCCTTTCCTGCAAGTTCGAGGTTTCCTAGCTTTCTTATAAACCAACTGAGTGTTTAAGAAAATGTCTCTTGGGAATTCCCTTGGGGGCCAGTGGTTAAAACTCAGCACTTTCACTGCCGAGGGCCCAGGGTTCAATCCCTAGTCGGGGGACTAAGATCCCATAAGCTGTGCAGTGCAGCCAAAAAAGAAAAAGAAAATGTCCCTCACAGTGATAGGTATTTAGCAGGTGTTGAATAACTAATGAATATGCCTAGAAAATAATGGAGAGATTTTCAGGTATCATCCCTAGACGCTGTCTGTGCGCTTCAGGCTCCTTCTGTTGATTATTGATTGACATGTGTAGCACCTTCCTTTGAGCTGTCTTAAAAGCACATTTATCTGGCATCTAGTTACATATTTTCTTTTTTAACACCACAGGTTCTTACCACATTTCTCTCCTAGTTCTGAAGACTGACATCATATATATATATATATATATATATATATATATATAATTTTTTTCAGTGCTTTATCCCTCAGCATTTAGCTGAGAGCCTGACACTGGAAGAGATGCTCATTAGTTGCAGTGTGTTTGGATAAAGAAATAAAGAATAAGGGAATGAACTATTTGTTATTAAATCCAGCTTGTGCCATTTGATGCTGTTGAATTAAAGCACAACATAAAATGGTAACTATGTCTTTCTTTAAGAGTTGAACTTTTTCAAGGATAGCGTTTAAAACACAGTAGGCATTTAATGAAAGTCAGACATACAGGCTGAAATAAAAACACCCCAAATTGAGTCTCGCCACCCCCACCTCATTGCGTGGGGCTTGGGGAGGCTGCTATTCCGCAGCAGTGCCGAGGCGTGTTACCTTTGCCTTTCTTGGGCGCCGCCTCCTTGCCCATTCTCGGTGCCGGCTGAGCTTCCTTCCTATACTGGGGAAGGTGTGGATACTCTTTCCCATACTGCATGTGGGGCAGCTCCTTGCCCACGCTCAGGCCATCTTTGCCCAAAGGCACATGAGGTACTTGCTGGCCCAGGGGCTGGTATTGCGGAATTTGCGGTGGGATCTGAGCGGGAATTTGAGGTGGCAGCGGCTTGATTCCATAGTAGGCACCAGCTTGGATGAGCCGGACGGAGCCCACGGAAAGGGTGAGCAGGACTCCCAGCAGCTGCAGAGGGGAATGTGGCCCAGCCATCACCTGTGGGGGAAGACACGCACCCAGATGGTGAAAACCGGCCAGCCAGGTGACCAGAGCTTACTTGAGAAAGAGGAGGAAGCGTACATAGTCTTCATCAGCAGAGCCTCATGAGTGGAAGACAAATGAAAGGGAAATGTCACCTTTCAATAGAAAACAGACAAAACCCAGGGAAGAGTAGGATCTACCAAATGAAGGCAATTGGTGAGACTGTAGTCTATGGGCGGGGACTTCCCTGGTGGTTCAGTGGTACAGAATCCGCCTCCCAATGCAGGACACGTGGGTTCGATCCCTGGTCCGGGAAGATGCCCTAGAGAAGGGAATGACAACACATTCCAGTATTCTTGCCTGGAAAATTCCATGGACAGAGGAGCCTGGAGGGCTGCAGTCCATGGGGTTGCAAAAGAGTCGGACACGACTTAGTGACCAAACAAAAACAGGCTATGGGGAGCCTGCTAGCTGTCTCTGAACATGACCTCAGCCTTCTTCCACAGTATTGGCACCTCTGACTCTAAGCTGGAGCGAAGCAAGCCTAGACCGAAGATGTTTCATTTAGATGTGGCCACGTGACAAAGTTCTGGCCTGTTGGGTGTAGGTGTAATGGGCACAGCTTCCAGAAAGGCTGTGAAGGGGGAGTGGACATGTCTAGGGCTATAGAGTGAAAACTGTGCATTGAGGATGGCAGAGCAAAAAGCTTGAAGAAATCTCGGCCTTGGTTGAACTTGGTGGGGTTATAAGCATGTGTAAAAGTTAAAGAGCAAACAAGGACAATAAAAACCAAAGACATCTGAATTGGAAAGAAGGTACTTCATGTGACAGCCCCGAATGTCATTAAATGAAAAAAAATCACCGTTATAATTACATGCACACAAGGATACCATTTCTTTCTTCTAGTTATGTCCTGTGAAGTCATTTGTTTAGAATTCAGTTAATTGGACCTGGAGATCACTGACGTTTCTCTTTGTACTATTATGAAAGAAAGGAGTTTTCAAAGCAAATTTGTTGCATAAATGAAAGATGTTTAAACAACTCACAAGGATAAACTGTTTTTAAGCCTTTTAACAGCACCCTTTGAAAGTTAGTAATTAATAGAATAAATATAAGTGGGGCTTATCTGTTTATTAAAAACAGCTTGAGAAGACATCTGTTTGGAGACGCCCAGGGCTGAAGATGGAACAGCCCAGGGAACTGCAGTTCTCCCGAATTCCCACTAGAGGGCAAGTGTGGTGCACATCGAGGTCAGCTCAATTACTCCCAGATCTAAAACCACACACAAAGCTTTGTTCTCGCATCTTGTTAAAGGGCTTACCAAAGTAGAGTGCTGTGGTAATGCTGCCGAGAGAGACAGACAAACAGACACGGAGAGCAGGGTGGGGGGCCTGGAGGAAAAGTGGCAAGTTTCTCACAATGTTTAATGTAAATGTCTTCTGGAAAACTTTGAGTAAACTTGTGTCTACAAATTTTAATTTCCATTCTCCTGAGAGTTTGTTTTCTTTGTTTCTGCCTTACTTAATCCTGGATCTTAGTTTTCCACTTCTCAGAAAACGTGCGTTGACAATGCAACATCTTATTCAAGTGTAATGCTGAGAGTGTGAACAGGCTATAGAACTGATTATTAAAAAGCACCTAAGAAAATATTTAATTAGAACCTTTACCATTAAATTCATTGCATTACAATTTTTTAAAAATATACTAATCATTTCTCCCCCTTCAGGGGGGAAAAATGAAGAAATATCTGTCAGCAAAAAGGTTTATAAAACTTTCTCCATTTCATAGATCGGAATAGTCTTTAAGAACTGTTTGTTTCAAGTGTATTATAAATGGGAGAAGACAGCTGTTATTTTATGTCCTTATAAGAATGATTAATTGTTATAAATCATTTGGAAACAGTCACAAAATTAATATTGATTTATACCCAGTAATAGTCAAATTTATTTTAGATGAAAAAAGAACATCTGTTCTAAGTACTCAACAATGGCTTATTGAGTACTTACCAGACATAGTGAGATACCTGTCCATGGATTACAAAGATAACTATGGTCAATAGGTCCTGCCATCAAGAAGCTTATACTGTTTAGTAGGAGTGACAGATGTGTAACCTATTAATGAGTAGCAAAGGATATCAGGAAAAAGTAAATTTTCCTCTCACTTTTGTTCTTTAGTGTCTAAAATCCCTTCCCTTTGAAGTGACATTTTCCTTTGTATTTTCGAGAGAGAATCTATGAAGATGCACATTTAATATGCACCCATTTAAGACAAACTACACTTATTCTACACACCACTATTTCTTACTATTTTCATGCAGAAGACCATAAATTCATTGTAGTTTTGTGTATCTGAACAGATCCTTTCAGCTTCTTCTTTGGTTAAAAATGAGACTCAATTGTTCTCTAAGCCCCATGTGATTCTAACATTCAGTGTCTCAGGCAGTCATCAGGGAGTTGACAGTGGAAATCCATACTAGAAATAACATGGTACTATCTGGTGATGTGTAACCTGGAACTTAATTCTACCTTTGGTGGTTAATGAGTTTCATTATTCAACCCTAAACTTGTCCTTTGTAATAAGTTAGCAGGCCTGGTCCTTCACCTGTCCCTGTCCTTCAATTCAGTGGATGTGTTGGATTTACTTAATAAGCTTCAAACCAGGACGGCCTAATGAAACACCGGAGAATTGGAAAGGGGCGAATTCCTAGAAAAAGGCCAGTTGAGTATCAAAGGCCCACTGGAATTCTGCTCAACTGTGATTATTTCCTCTCACAGACTTGGCCTGTTTCTCCTGAAAACCACCCCTTTTGGTCTGCCATCTGCCATTGCTCTGGATCTTTATTTAAATAAACTCCGCTCAGTTGTAGCGCGAATATTTACATAGGGGCCCTGGTTAGAATTTAGCACTTGCCTTATCCTTACTCATTTCCCTCTTGTCCCTGAGGATGTTTTTGGTGGTCAAAGTGTTGCGGAGGTTCTCCCCAAATCACTCAGAAGAACATCAGACTTGTGTAACACTGTACAAACTCCTGGTGGGAAGAGGGAGCCTCAGAATTCGTGCTGGTGAGACACGGTGGTAGTGGGTTTTCTCGCCTCTTCCCCCCGCCCCCAAGGGTGTAGAATGCAATAATCCTGTGAGTTCTATTTGATGTTTTCTTGGATTTCTATTTGGAAACTGATATGTGGTATGTGTGTGCACGTGAACATGAACATTCATACTGTGTGTGGACACTGGATTTTTGCCAGCCAGGCAGACTTAGTGATGGGTGTCATGTCATACATTGTAGAAGAAGCCAAAAGACCAGGAGTTGAGGTGTAGCTTTGCCATTCTGCATGTTCATGACTTTCTGCAAGTCCCTTATCTTCACTGTGCCTCAGTTTCCCTGCCTGTAAAACAGAAATTATGATCTCCACCTCTCCCACAGCACTATTGAAGGGCACACATGATAATATGAATTCTTTGTAGGCTGAAAAGCACTATTCACATTTATTATTAATGGAGTGTAACCAAAGAGACAAATCAAAACCAACTGAAACGTCAAAAGACTTTCAAAGAAAGATGCTAGCCAAAGTAAATGTGAGGTTAACTGCAATAATGATAAACCTAACATGAAGAAAACAATAATGGCCATTAAAATGTACTTGTTAAAAATGGGAAAACAGAACAGCTGAACCAAGACAGTTATTCATTCTGGGGTGGGAGTTGCCAGTCCTAACATTCTGTACAGCCCTAAATGCTTCCCTGTATTTGGGCTGGGCTGCTGCAGAGAGTTTCAGTTTCCTCCTGTGAAACCTGCAATGTAAATAACAGAATAGTGTGATATGTATTATTTTAGACGCTCTTCGGGATTTTCTTAGTACGTTGATCCTCATGAGATTATGGCTTGCTGTCCGAAAGAATGTGTAAGTATTTAAGCCTTCAAGTTCAGTTCAGTCGCTCAGTCATGTCTGACTCTTTGCGACCCCCACAGGCTGCAGCATGCCAGGCCTCCCTGCCCATCACCAACTCCCAGAGCTTGCTCAAACTCATGTTCATCGAGTGGGTGATGCCATTTGACCATCTCATATGTCCTTGTGCTAAATCCAACTCTGCCTTTCCCACGGACAGCTTCCCCTTTCCCGGCATGTCTGTATGTGTATGTATGCATGTCCATGTCATCTGTGGGCGGACAAGCCTTCTCTCATTCTGCCCCTTCTGTGCCCTCTAATCATCCTGTCACACAGGGCTTGTGGTTCCTCAGGCCTTGAGATTCACACTTAAAACAGGGGAAAGTCAAGTAGCACCCTACTCCTCCAGCATTCAGCAGGATTGTTTAGAAAATCGTCTCACGGTTGATTACACTTCTCGGGGCACTTCATTCACTGGATACGGATATTTATGAGACAGCTACTAATCATTACAAACTGCTTGGAGACTGAAGAAAGAGAAGTGAATCAGGTAAGTCCCTGATCTCCTGAACTCACAGTCCAGCCTGGGGAGACGTGTAATTAACAAGTTAAACATAGATTGTGTAATCTCAGATTTGGGGGCTTCCGTGGTGGCTCAGTGGTGAAGAATCAGCCTCCACTGCAGGAGATGTGGGTTCGATTCCTGGGTCAGGAAGATCCCTTGGAAGAGGAAATGGCAACCCGCTCCAGTATTCTTGCCTGGAAAATACCATGGACAGAGGAACCTGGTGGGCTACAGGCCATGGGGTCGCAAAGAGACATGACAGAGCAACTAAACAACAACCCAAACACCTCAGATTTAAATGCTGTGAAGAAAACAAGGGGAAAGTGCGTGGGAATGCCTTGGGGAGGCAGATGCTGTTTTGGAAGGGTGATAGGGGAAGACATCGCTGAGGAAGTAGGTTTTGGATAGAGGTGTGAGGATTGAAAGCTTTATTTATCTCTCTTTAAACACAATACTGGGAAAAAAAGAGTCCTATTAGTTACAAGAGATAGCTATATTAGCTCCAAGGTAGTTTTATACAACATCCATTAATGTAAACCCCTGTTTCAAAACTCTGTTCCTCA